AAAAGGCCTTCCAGTGGAGGGTCACATGGCTTTGCTCTTTTTACTGAACTGAACGTTATTACTGATAACTTAGTGAAGACACAAAGGACCAGATTTATATATCATATAACTGGGAGAGAGGGATATATCATAAAAGAAAATTCCAAAAGGATCTCAAATACCCAAAGGTATGAATAGACAATTCCCATAGGAAGATGTTGAAAAAGTATCTCTGTACGGGTAATCAAAGAAAAGCAATTAAAGGCAAACTTGAGGTGCCGTATTATAGAAAGCTAATACACCAAATATTTTTCAAAAATTCTAAATACTGCCAAAGCTGTGGGGAAAATGGCACATACATGTCTACACTGCTTCAGACATGGCATTAACCTTTGGAAAGCAATATTAACAACACATGGAAAGGACTATAAAAATGTTCTTGCCCTTTAACCCAATTAGCTCACTCCTGCGAATTTACTCTAAGAAACAAATAAAAAGAAGGAATAACAACCATAAACAATCACTGCAGCATTACCTGTAATAGCAAGAAACTAGAGACAAAAAATGTACAGCGAAAACGGTAAGAAGCTACTCATGGCCCAATGCCGGGAAGGACGTCACAATGATAGTTATGAAAATCAGGCAGCAGAGGGGGAAATGTTTGCCATATGATGTTCAAGGAACAAGGCAGGATGCAGATGCACTGCGGAGGCCCCGCTGACGCCACCGTGAACAAAGAAGTGCTGCACTTGGACAGACAGAAGGGGAAGGTGCAGTTGGGCTTTGCTCTAGGGATTATGGCTGGGTTTTCTTTTTTGGCTTTGGCTTTCTTCAAATTTTATTTTGTATTTTAAACAGAAATGGAAAAGAAGATCTCAACCAGCTGGAATGTTGGGCTGAAACCAATAAGATGAAATGAAACAGGGATGAATGCAAAGTTCTGTATTGCATTTAAGAAATAAATTTGAAAAATTCACACATTGAGCTGTTAAGACGAAAAAGGGGAAGCAAAGGAAACAAAAGGAACCACATTGACTGAAGGCTGGGGTAAAATGGGGACTGTAGGTCTGTGACACAGTGGCAGGCCAGTATGATTCCCTAACAACCACAGAACAAACAAATCGCCCAAGCTCCTATAATCTAATAAATAGCGAAGCCAGGATTTGAATTCAGAGTGCATTTCTCTGACTCAAACATCTATGCTCTTTCTCCTAGGGACAAGTACTATTGTGTTAAGTCGAAAATAAGGAGCAGGGGAGTGTTTGGTAACCATAAGCTCAATAAGAGCCCATTTTATAATGCCATTGCTAAAGACACAAATTCAAGGTTAGGCCACTTTAATAGAACTGACAGTCCTAAAGAGGTGACAATCTCGCTATAGTTTGTGCTGATCAGACTCTTCCTAGAGTACAGTGTCTAGTCCTGAGTAGGGCACACCCATAAAAGAGCAACCAGGATGGTCAGAGTTCTTCGGATTAGGGAGCTAAAAGATAATGATTGCCTGGGTCCTTCACTCACATTATCTTACTTAGCCCTTGACACACCCTGTGAGGTAGGGAATTACTATTTCCATTTTAAAAAGAAGAAAACTGAAGCTGAGAGAGGTTAAGAACTTGTTCAAGATCACACACTAGTTAAGGGGCAGAATCAGGATTTGGACACAAGGCTGTCTAAATCCAGAGTCCCCACTCTTCCCCATGTAGCCTCCCTCACGTGAGAAATGATAGAATAGAACTGCAGCTATTTATTTAGTTGTTGATAGCAAAGGGCTATCAGCAGAATAATTGTGTGACTTCAGAGAGAAGAATTTGAATGACTTTAGAGTTACAAGGATGTAGATTTTTAGCTTAACAGAAGAACATTTCAGTAATGGCAATAATTGGATGGACTCTTTGGTAGGAGATGAGTTGCCCATGCCTGGAGATATTCAGTCCCTGGTGGTGCAGTGGTTGAGGTATGGTGTGCTACAGCTGCTAACCAAAAGGTCAGCAGTTCAAATCCACCAGCTGCTCCTTGGAAACCCTTTGAAGCAGTTCTACTCTGTCCTACAGGGTCGCTATCAGTCGGAAATGACTCGACAGCAATGGGTTTGGTTTTTTGGGTTTGGAGGTACTCAAGCACAGTCTAGAAAGTCATTTGCTTACAGTCATCTGGACAGAGGACCTAAAGTTCACTTTTGACTTTTAGATTCCATGAACCTTTGAAGCTGCTTGGCAGCAACTGATCAATCCCTTCAAAAGAAGTGATGGAAATATGTTGGTATGTCTATTTGCAGATATAAAAGCAAACATTATATGCCAAGGTAAACACATTGGTCCATGAGAAAACTAAACACAGAAAATGAAATAGGTTCTGCTGGAAAATGCTTATAGCTTTTAAAGAAGTTGTTCTTTTCTGTAAACAAGAAACCCACCTCTGGAGAAATGTACAATCTCGGTAATAATCAAAGAAAATATGAGATACTTTTCACCTATTAAGTTGGAAAAATAGTTTAAAAAGTGGTCACATCTATTATTGGTAAGAGTGCAGTGAACACCATTCTTACACTTGTGATGATATGCGTCAAAGACTGATAATTATGTCATTTCTTTTGACCCAAGTGAAACCACCCTAACAGTAGAAAATACAAGTGGAAAAACTATGCACAATTTCATCTGAGTTTTATTTATAAACCATCTGAACATCCAAATAAGGGCAATGGGCTAGATGAGTATATGGGTGGCAGGGGGTTTGGGGGGGGGGAGCGGGCTGAGGTCAATGTGGGGAGCTGGAAGCCCGGGGGTGGGGCATCTAGTCAGGATGCACAAGGAAAGCTCCCAAGTCCCAAGCACTGTAGGTCAGGCAGGTATGGAAGCCGAGGGTAGAGACAGATAAGGGCACACTGAGGTGAGGACTGAATAGGTGTGGGAGGGGAGAAGAGAGAAATCTCAACATTAAAATTACATGGCTAGACTCTCAGCCCAGGCCATACTTTTCTACTTATATTTCAAACATGTAAAAGTGCAGGCTTTGCACAGACCTGGATTCTGATTTAGCTCCACTGCTGACAACTGGTGGGACCTTGGGCAAGAAATTAAACTTCTCAGCCTGTTTCCTCATTTGTACAATGGATATAAACGACCCTCACATGACAATAACTAGGCACCTACTAGACAACTGTGGCTCAGAAAACATCTGTTTAACTATTGTTCAAAACCTTCCTTGATCCCATCAAACTTAACTTCTTATGTGCTTCCTCTTCACATCCTTTTCTGATTTTAATCAGTCTTATATGCGGATGAGTCAGAATCGACTCCACAGCAACAGGTTTGGTTTTTTTGGTTTATATGTGGAAGGTAACAACTAACATTTGTGTGGGTCTTCATGATCTACAGAGCACTTTCTCCAGATACTACCTGGATTGCTGTCCACAAAAACCCTGAGGTATCATTATCTCCACTTTAGAAAAAGGAGGCCCAGAGAGGTTGAGATCCTCTCCAAGTGGTAAAGCGAGGATTTGAACCCAGATCCCACAATGTTTCACAACTCTGTTCGGTTGCTAGCATATGATCATACATCACACAAAGCACTTTCACATGTCATTAGCATTTTTATTACAGATATTTTTGTGCCTATTTCCCCCATTAACCTTGAAGTACCTATAAAGCAGGTACCATGTTGTATGTCTTTGAAGGGAGACAGCCTCTGAGTATTTTATCCTCACTGTGCTTAGGAAGAAAAGACGGATGAGCTCAAGAATGATGCCTATTTTTTTCTAGTATGGTATGCACTACTCATGTCCAAGCTGCCCCATGCTATTCAAATGCACACATCACAACAAGAGTTTATCAAACACTTACTAAGTGTCAGGAACTTTACTTACCTCATGAAATGAGGTAACCTATGTTAAACACTTAAGAAAGTCCTGGTATGTATTAAGTATGCATCATTATTATTATTATTACTAAGTTATCCATACTGTCTGTGATACAGGCATTATTTTTCTCATTATACAGTAAGGACTGAAGCTCTCAGAAGTTAGGTGATTTGCCCAAGATCACATAGTTAGCTTGTGGAGGAGCTAGGAAAAGACCATGAAAGAAAGTTTACACTACGCATTTAATTAGCAAGCGCATGATACTTCACATTACAAAGGATTATTTTCACTTACTAAAATAAAAGTTCTCCGAAGTGGCAGCCACCAGTGACTCTGAGCTTTTGCTTTCAGACCAACAGTTGATGGATAAACCAGAAGAGAAACCAGGGGCCATTCTCCAAGCAATGCTCAAAAGCCAATAATCAGAAATGAAGATGACGACTGGCATTATTTATTGAGTACTTTATATATATTTATATATATATTCTCTAATCCTTACAACAATTCTGCAAGGTAGGTATTATCTTTTTTATGGAATAGAAAACTGAAATTCAGAGAGGTTAAGTTAAGCCCAAAGCAAGCAGGGGGGCCAGGCTCAGAACCCAGGCTCAGGCCCAAAGCCCTTATATTTTCAATACTACGCTTTACTCTCCAGACTTGCAAAGGAAAGTACAAGTCAACAGAAGATTGAATGCGGTTTGCCAAAATGTGCACCAGTCACCTTCGAGACTCAGTAACTGAATAAAGAATGAGATAAAAATTAATTTGCAAGATCATTTGAAATAACAAGATAGGATGAACAAACTGGCACCAAGTGACATTGCCCCAACTCCCTGAATGTAACCGTGGACCATATGTAACATTATCCCCCTCATACACTCCTTTACAAAGACTGATTCAAATTATCAGGAAAGCTGAATCTCAGACCACCTTGAGTTAGAAAGGCGAATGGTCCTACATGTCCTTTAAAGTCAGAGACAGTAACCTGCTTTCGAGACAGCCCTTTAGATCTGCAGACAGCAAGCAACCAGGCCCCTCATGAATTTTCTCTCCTTCAGCCTGAACATTCCGCCCTCAAATGAGGGGCATTCCAGGCCGCTTTGCACACTGTCGTCACCTCTAGACATTAATGTTCTTAAATAAATGAAAATAATGATTGTCTACATCAAACAATTAATGAAGCTTTATTATAGAACAAAATAGAGAACAGAAATAGAAGTCCTTGAATGGTGAAAATTTCAGTTCAACTTCCGGGTCAAGTGATAGGCAACTCAGAGACGCTTCCTCCCCCTTAGAAAAGACAGTGTTTTTCCCATCCCCAGAATGATACCAGTGCCAGGTTGCTGCCTGAGTCTCAACAAATCCATCTGCCTTCTTTGGAGTGGGAAGTTCAAGTTCAGAACAAGCCGCTGTCCCAGAACCCTGCTCGCTCCCTACCCACACCCCACCACGCACAGTAGGGTCTGATTTGGACTTTGCCATCGTCCGCAAATCACATGCTACGCAAGGAAAACGCAAAGGCTTTAAGAAAAATCCAAAGTTTATTGCAAATTGTATTTTGCTTCCCTTCGTTCTTCATTTTTACAGGATTTATTGATATCCATGATTTTTTCACAGATGTACTTGTTGACTTTGGAGAGTCTCTGTGCAATTTCAGTTTCATCCACAGTTTCTTGTGCTATTCTGTCATACAAACACTCTAGATAGGGAGGAGAAACAAGAATGCCAAGAATTAATGGGGAATCCGAGTGAAGATCTTTTTAGGATGCAAAAGGGAAGTGTGCCTTCTGACATACTCTCCAAATACCAATTCACGTATCTGGCACGGCTATACTTGTAAATCTTCATCATAAAATATACTTAGAAAGGAGTATATCTAAACCATAAATTTATACTTTAAAAACAATGACAAAATACCCATGTGCCCACCACCCAGCTTAAGAAACAGGAAATATCCCTTTGAAGCCCCTGGATGCCCCTCCCCAATCCCATCTTGTCCCTTCCTGAATTCTGTCAGTAATTCCTTTGATTTTCTGTTAGTGTTAACACACGTGTATGTCCTTAAATAACATATTATTTACTTTTCCCAGTTTTTAACCTTTTTAGAAATGGACCCATACTCTATATATCCTTCTGATTCGCTTGTTTTTTTACTCAATGTTACAACTTTTGAGATTTACCCACATTGAAGTCTATAGTGGTAGGTCATTCATTTTCACTACAGAGTAGTGTTCTATTGTCTGACTTTACCATGATTTGTTTATCCATTCTAAGTCAATGGATACTTGGATTGTTTCTAGTGTTTGCAATTACCAACAACGCTGCTATGAGCATCCTTGCATATGTCTCCTGGGGTACACGTGCAGGCAATTCTCCAGTATAGACTGAGGAGTGGAACTGCTGAATGGTAGGGTGTGTGTGTATTCAGCTTTGTAAATGACACCTAGTAAATTGTTTTCTAAAGTGGTTGTGCTGACTGGTACTCCCATTAGTAGTGTATGAGAGTACTGTCTGCCCCATATCTTCAGCAGCACTTGGCACTGTCATATTATTAAGGTTTTGACAACCTGTTGAGTGTGAAGTGGTATCTCCTTGTGCTGATTACTCACGATGCTGAGAACAAGCCACTTTTACTGAGTCTACAATTTGTTGTGGTGGAGCAAAGAGTGAGCCGGAGACAAGATCTGGCTGGAGTCTGACTTCAGTCAACTTCTAGCCTGGGCACCTTGTGCAAATCACCGCCCCAGATCCCTTATTTCATAAACAAGGCTAACAAACCATAGAGTATTTTTCTTAAGGTTGCCATGAGGCTCAGATGAGATAAATATTTTAAAAGCTTTTTTTTTTTTTTTTTTAATTGTAAGGGACTCTATACTTGTATGGAGTTATTAGAATTATTTTACGTATATACAAAAAAACCCAAACCCATTGCCATTGGGTCGATTCTGACTCATAGCAAACCTACAGGACGAGTAGAACTGTCCCATAGGGTTTCCAGGGAGAACCTGGTGGATTCGAACTGTTGACCTTTTGGTTAGCAGTTGTACCTCTTAACCACTACACCACCAGGGTTTCCATTTTATGTATATACAGCTGTTAATTCCCAGGGCCTAGCACAGTGCTTGGCACAGGGGCGAGAATAAGTATATTTATGTTAAGTGAATGAATGAATGGATGTATTTTCTAGGGAAATCTGAGGGGACAAAAAATTCTGGCTATGAAAGGCCTGGGAGTTTGGGTGGGGACTGTACCATTGGGGTGTGTAACCTTGGGCAAGAACTTTAACTTTTCTGAACGTAAGTTTCCATACCTGTAAACCAGGAACGACAACCCCAATCTTAAGGGATTGCTATGGAAAGTAAATGAAATACAGTAGTCTCCCCTTATCTGCGGTTTCACTTTCTGCGGTTTCAGTTACCCATGATCAACCGTGGTCAGAAAATATTAAATGGAAAATTCCAGAGATAAACAATTCATAAGTTTTAAATTGCACATCATTTTGAGTAGCGTGATGAAATCTCACGCTGTCCTACCCGAGACGGGAAGCAACCCTTTGTCCAGCGTATCCATGCTGTATATGCTACCTGACCATTAGTCACGTAGTAAGTAGCAGTCTCAGTTATCAGACGGACTATCACAGTATCGCAACGCTTGTGTTCAAGTAATGCTTATTTTACTTAATAATGGTCCCAAAGCACAAGAGTAGTGATGCTGGCGTTCAGAAATACATAGGAAAAGGCATAGTATATATAGGATTCGGTACTATCCGCAGTTTCAGGCATCCACTGGGGGTCTTGGAACGTATCCCCTGCGGATAAGGGGGGGACTAGTGTATTGTCTTTACTAAGTCAGCTCACAGCAGGGAATCCTCTTACAGATGCTGAATGTCAAAATTAGAAGGACCATAAAGCCTGGTGGCGTAGTAGTTAGGCGTTTGGCTGCTCACCGAAAGGCTGGTAGTTTGAATCCACCACCTGCTCCTTGGAAACCTTGTGGGGCAGTTCTACTCCGTCCAATAGGGTCGCTATGAGTCGGCATTGACTGGAAGGCAACAAGCTTTTTTTTTTTTTGTGCTAATTTACATATGAGAAGACCAAGGCCCAGAGAATGGGAATAAGTGTGGGCAAAATCGGCAGGCTACCATCTGCTGACCCCACAGTCTGAGCCCTTCCCTCATGTTGCTGTTTATACTGTAAGTGTCTGTGCTGTATACTTTCTTTCTCTGGGGCATCCCCTTTTCCCCTACTGACAAGGGTTTTGTATAGAGGAGCCTTTAAAATGCTTTTAACTGACCTCTGCTACTTCCTGACCATCCCCAAGCCTGACTAATCCTCACCATGTCTTGTCTTGGCCTTTCCATAGGAACTGAGTTAGGAGGTAGTGGTTCTGTCTCTCTCCAGTCCCACCTCTGTTATATACATCCTGCCTTACCCTTTACTTTCCAGCCACTCTAAACAACCTGAAGTACCCTCCCCACCACAGGCTATCCACAAATCAGTCTTTGCTCATGTCTGCCCTGAATACCCTGGCTTCCCTCTTCACCTGCCTAAGTCCTACTTACTCTTCCAGATTCAGCCTTCTGGGAACCTACCAGATCAAGCCAGGAGACCCCACTCTGCCTACAACCTCCGTGCTCCCACCCTTGCTTGGGCTTTTCTGTCTGTCAAAGCACTGATCACAGTCTAATAAAACTGCAACCACATCCATCTCCCCTAAAAGACAGGGACACTTGGGTGGTCCCCTCCAGCCCACAGTCAGGAGAAAGCAAACATTCACAGTGACTTTGTTGACATCTGAACCAAATGAGGAAGACAGACTGGGAAAAAAACTGTTTTGAAGTTCAGGTCTTCAAATCTAGCTCTGACCCTAAATGCTGTACAACCTCTAGTAGCTCATGGCCCCTCGCTGCATCTCAATTACACTATCTATTAAAGCAAGATGCTGAACTTGATAATCTAAGGCGACTCTTCCAGCTCAATGTCTCTAGTTCCCTGCAGGGTAATAAAGGCTGGAAAACAGGAGAAGGAGAGAAGGGGAAGGAAGCACAGTGTGTGTGAAGGCCGTTAGAGCCCCAAGTGTGAATCGGAGAAGAGGCAGAAAGAGGAAGGTGTGAATGGAGGGAGGGTTTTCAGAGGCACCCCCCCAAAATCCCAATCATTCAAATTTCCTGGGGGTAACAGAGCCAAATGGCCCCACTGGTTGATTAAAAGGCTTTCGTTAGACTCTAGATATTAATCACCTGCAGTAGCTGGGAATGTCTCCCTCTGCGAGGGAGCATTTGAGATTATTGCTTAATTAACAAGGTTTATAACAGTGCTAATGTGTCCTATTAAAAAAGTTATAAAAATTAACCAGAACTCAATGCTGTGGCTCATTTAGAAAACTCAGACATTCTGCAAAAGGTCATCCAACCTTAATAAGGTTTAACTGTCATTCTAGAGCTTGTCATTAAAGCGAGACTCTCCTCCAGCCTTTCTGCTTTTATCTTTCTAAAGCAGCATCAATGTGCTCCTATCCCTCTACCATCCTCTGCAAAATATCAAAAAACAAAACAAAAACAAACTCATTGCCATCGATTCCGACTCATAGCAACCCTACAGGACAGAGTAGAACTGCCCTATAGGGTTTCTAAGGAGCAGCTGGTGGATTCGAACTGCCAACATTTTAGTTAGTAGCTGAGCTCTTAACCATTGCACCACTAGGGCTTCCTCTGCTGAATAGCTGGTGAGGAAATGAGTTTAAAATCAAAGAGAAAATCCTCACCAACCCTGTAAGTGTAAAGGCTTTTGCCATTTTTGTACAGCAAATGTGACTAAATGTGATAAAATCATACAATATAAATACAAAGAAGCTCGATCCAGCAGACAGCTTGCATGGGAAGACCCAGTCAAATGCAATCTGGAAGAGCTCAAATAATTAAGCTAAAAATGGTGAGTGTATGGTGGGATGGAAGCTAGACTTCAAACCTGCCTGGCTGTAGTAAAAAACAAAAACAGACCAACACTATATTGCAGTAAGACAAGAAACTTCTGGAGACCACGGGAAGCCTGAAACCCCAGTTCAGCTTGGCTCTGTCTAAACGGTTGTATGGCTTTGGGGAAGTGAATTTCTTCCTCATTCACTGACATGAGCCTATAAAGGCTTATAGAGGGGGGCTGCCAGATGAAGCTTCTAGGAAGGCAGATATAGTAGGGAGAGAACAGAGCTGGGCTCAGGGTGCTCTGGGGACACACGACAGACAGAAAAGAAGTGCCCAACCACCCTGAGGAGTCAGGGAAGGCTTCCTAAGGAAGGCTCACCTAAGCAGATGCGGTGGTAAGTAGCAGTTAGCTGGACAGAACAGCACAGTAGGTGTGAGTGGGTAGTGTGACCTGTGCTTCAGACATTGGGAATAGCATTTACAAATTTCTCAAGGTGAGAGGGAACAAGGCTTATTCAGGGAATACAGTAGTTCATTACAGTAAGAACTTAGCATTCAAGGGGAAGACTGCTGAAAAATAAATCTGGCAATATAGCCAGGGGCCAGATTATGAAGGTGCTTTTACGACGTGTTAAGAAGCTTACCCTTTAGTAATGGGTGCCGTGAACCAGCTCTAACTGGGGCAGCGGTAAAAGGATCATACCTGGTTTCTGAAACGGCACTCTGGCTACACAATGGAGACAGGAGACAGGGAGGCCACTCTGGAAGCTGCTAAGAGT